GAGATCCCGATTGGGTTTCTGAAACTCTAAATCTTTACAGAAGTAGATCACCCCATCTTCCTTCCTCAGAGTGTCTGGTTGGTTTGAACTGCTGACCTTCTGGTTAGCAGCCAAGTGCCTTATCCACTATGCCACCTGCAGTTCCATTCCTATGTATCTATCTGAGACAAATGAAACCATATGTCCACACTAAAATGTCCATGTGAATGTTTACAACAGCTTTATTCGTGATACACAAAAAGTGGAAACAACCTATTTATCAACAGATTAATCAATACATAACATGTAGGTATAGTCATACAAAGGAATATTATTCAGCAATAAAAATGAAGCCCTGATACATATTATGATATGAATGAACCTTGAAAACATTATGCTAAGTGAGAGAAGCCAGACATAAAAGGCCACATATTGTATGATACCATTTATGTGATAAGTCTGTCTGCAATAGGAAAATCTAGAGTCAGGATATAGATTAGTGGGTCCTTGGACTTGGAGGGGTGGTGGTGGGAAAAGAAATGACTGCTGATAGGCACAAGTTTTGGTTTTGGTTTTGAGTGAGAGAAATGTTCCAGAATTGATTGTAGTGATGCACAACTCTATGGATATACTTAAACTACTGAACTGTGCAATATAAATAAGTGAATTGTTATGATGAGTTATATCTCCACAAAGCTGTTATGAAGAAAATAAATAAAAAGAAACAAACAAAAGAAAAGAAAATGGGAAGAGAAGTAATTAACTTCCTTCGCACTGTGAGCTGTAGAGCTGGGCCACGGGAATTTCTGGAATTATGTGTCAGGCCTTGCCCACTCTCCTTCGCTCTATTCTCTTTAGATATTGGAGACTCAATTAACTCTTTCTTTTTCTTTCCTTCCTTCTTCTTTCTTCCCTTCTTTCTTTTGCCTTTCCTTCCTTATTTTTCTTGTTTCCCTTTTTCCTTCCCTCCTCCCTGTTTCTTCCTCATTTTTAAGGAAAATTATATCCATTGATCATGTAAGTGTCTAAGCTGAACCAACTTTTGTGTAAAGTGAACCTTGAATAAGTTAATGTGCATTGTGAATCTCCAGGAGAGAAATATAGCACCTAGTATCTCCCAGTTGTATTTAATAGCAAATCCTTTTTGTGAAATGTTGCTAGAGACCAGACTAGGACTGTTGCACAGGAATCAAAGACCTCAGAGATGCACAGTTATTGCTGGTTGCAGTACACTCAACATAGTTCAGTTTATTGGATATAAACATAGTTTACTGGATATTGTCTTGGGCTGTGACTTCCTATCTGATTAGCCTTTTTCATTTCCCCCCATTTCAACCTTCAGCTCTCTTTAAGGCGCCAGCAAATAAGCGAGAGATTGAATGAATGGGCAGTCTTCAGTGAAAAGAACAAGGAGCTTTGTGAATGGTTGACTCAAATGGAAAGCAAAGTTTCTCAAAATGGAGACATTGTCATAGAAGAAATGATAGAGAAACTCAAGAAGGTATGTTTCAGTGTTCATGATACTTGGGCAGATGTTAGCCAAAAATGCAGACGATAGCCATATCACAATTACTATAAAATGCTTTGTCTTTTAAACAAGTATAAAATAAACTTACATGGGTACATACACCTGCTTTGCATATGATGTATATAGAATATTTTCAGTTTGTGATTAAATTAATCTGCTGATGGATGAACTTCAGTGCTTTTG